GGAGTTTCTTGCTCGTTCTTCTCCATTCGAAACTACAATTTGGAACGAGCACCTAGCTTCACTGACGAACAGACTGACAGACTACTATTCTATTTTGACGTTTCAAAAGTACCTATTTATGGTTTATTTGGAATAAATGATTTTGATTGATTGATTGATAAAAAAGTTAAAAGTCTTAAAAGTCTAAATTTATTGATCGACCCGATAAAAGTTTTCTTTTACACTTTAAATTCAAACTAAACGCAATAAATTACTTAATGCTTTGGTAATAGGTAGTTCTAATATTATGTGTATTTGGCCATTTTTATACAAAGAAAAGATAAAGTACTTTCCTGCATAAGTGATTCCATTACAATGCCAGTACAGAGCGAAATGTTCTGCAAAAGGCGACGTATTTAAAGTCAGTGCCAGCCAAATCACAAATAACTTAATGTCATTTACGACGTAGATAACCGCAAGGAGAAAGCTTATAGCTCCGCGAACAATTTAATGTAATAAAAGCGAATTGCAGCAATTACGCGAATTGTCCGGAACCGCGCAATTTGCCAGTAATGCTGATACTTGCCGGTATATAACTGGTACATACACTTATATATCACTTTTTTACGTTTTACATAATTTGAGCAAAATAACTCGGTGTTAATGCCTTTCGTGTTTGTCCAGAATTGGCAAAAAGTTTCTCATAACCTTAATTTCGACGACAATTTTATTTTTATTTTATAAAAGGCCTCGCACAAATGCAAAATCAAATCAAAATCATTTATTCCAAATAAACCATAAATAGGTACTTTTGAAACGTCAAAATAGAATAGTAGTCTGTCAGTCTGTTCGTCAGTGAAGCTAGGTGCTCGTTTCAAATTGTAGTTTCGAATGGAGAAGAACGAGGAAGAAACTCCATCGTTACTCTTTTAAAAAAAATATTTGTTTTACAATTCATAAATAATACATTTTTTATACATTACTGTACCCCTATGTGAGAACAATGCAGAGACAAGTTGTTAATAAAAAGGAACAAATGATGGTCTATCTAATCTATCATTAAAATTTTAATCCTTTGTTGTCTCGAACATGGCGCTCACATATGCGTACTCACAATCCAAAAGAATGCTTCTATATAAACTCATTCAAGGTTTCATTAATTTTGAGAATTTCAATAACTACTGACTACATATTTGAGTATTGTCCAGTGGAGCCGAACCAACATGATGCCAGGCATTCTTGTCCTCAATATAATCTGAAAGTTTGTAGTATGCCTGTCTACATAATTCGCGTTTAATATAAGTTTTAAATTTTCGTTCATTAAGATTTAATACACTTCTTGGAATTTTATTGTAACAATTTACACAGAACCCCATAAAGGATTTCTGTACTTTGGACAGACGGAATCGTGGCACAGCCAGCCTATCTTTGCCTCTAGTATTAAAATTGTGTCTATCGCTTCTTTTTTCAAATAATTGCAAATTTTTCCTTACGTACATAATGTTTTCATATATAAACTGACAAGGTACCGTTAGGATATTTATCGTTTTAAATAGTTCTCTCAGAGATTCACGAGGGGACAAGTTATATATCGCTCGGATAGCCCGCTTTTGCAAAATAAATATTGAATCTACTTCCGCAGCTCGCTGCATGCATTGCTTGTACTTAAGTTCTTCATCAATTAATGAATGGTATTCGACATACATGTAAACCGTCCTCTTCAATCACTTTATCTATTAAAAAACTGCATCTAAATCCGGTTCGTAGTTTTAAAGAGTTAAGGTACATACGGCATGATATCGTTACTGAGAAAGCGACTTTATTTTATACTATGTAGTGATTGTATATCTCCTTAAGAATGCACTACTACTAATGAAAAATCCTAGATCCTACTGGAAAGTAAGCAATAGTTTCCACGTATGGACAACTTGGTAATTAGTTGTAGATTTTTTCGGGTTTAGGTATGTGAAAATTGGGGATGGGGAAACTAATATAATAGTTCCCATGTAGGGCCTTTGATATCCGTACTCATATGGCAAAACAAAACAAAAGCGTTGCTTCACGCCTATTCTTTATGATTAGCTTCTCTGGCACGGTTTCACCAGCTGCTTGTTGACTATGTTGCCCGATGTTTTATAGCATATACGATAAAATAATTGATCAATTCGAACTAGTAGTTTCGGAGATAAGCACGTTTAAACAAACAAACAAACTCTTCAGTTTTATAATACTAGTATAGATTTCACGTGATATGTGATATGAGTCATGTCAAGCCGGTACATTTATACTGAACTTTAGTTCTCCGGCAAATAAACTATACCTTTGAAAGTAAGTACATCAACATAGATCGTGTAACATTCAATACACAACGTCGAATGCTCCACTGAATCTCGCTCGCACAATTAATCCAATCCTAAGCCCACCTTGTCCAACATCTCGGAATTCTAAATGAAACCCAATCGATTGAAATTATCATCAAATTGACATTGATTTGAATGGAATCTGATTTCGTTTTGATCTGTAGAATTCGAGAGTTCATCGAACTGTGACAGCTGTGTAAGTGTGCTTTGCGATGAGATTAACATTTTGTTCTACAATTTTTAAAAACCGTTTTTTGTTTTTTAAAAAAAATGTGGCCCCGCACTATCATTAAATTTGCTCCTGTGTAGTGGGTGTGTTAAAAAACATACAATTTCACATACACATCAAACCCAGACCCAGAACAACAATTTGTGCATCACACAAAGAGTTGTTCCATGCGGGAATCAAACCCGCAATACGTTGCGCCGAAGCAAGTTGCCCAACCAACGCGCCAACCGTGCATTAACAATTTAAACATATAATTACACGTTGTAACGTTATAATTTTACTTTGTTTTTTGGTGTGGATGGATGGATTTGATACTAGTTTATGTAAAAATTACTCGACGATTCTAAATGAAATAGAGCATAGAGATAGATCAGAGTCCATAATAATTACTTTTTTACTGACACTGTAGGCATAGCTGCTGACAGATGCAAACAAGAAAATAGAACATACATTACGATGGCGTGTAAAACACCAAAATATTAGACAGATATTATAGATCTGGGATACATTTGCACAATTTTTTTATTTGTTGCGAACCTACTGTTTATCTTTGTGCAATGTGAACAATTTTGTAATTCGTGTAGAATTTTCTTTTAAAACTCTATAATCTATATAAATGACATATGTATTGTTCTCGGCATTAATGATCGCTTAATATTCTCTCAGTTTTAAAATATAAGCAGGTTAACTACGTAACTTCAAGTGGTTAAAATTTTGTTTTGTTTCCCAAAATTACTAAGGTACTTATATTCGTGTTACAAGTTTGGTTATGTACTTAAATTTCAAACTAGGGGAAACTAAATTTAGAATCTCTATCGCTTGCATATTTAGACTTTGGTTTCATAAAATATACTTAAATAAGTCTATCAATAAAATTACGTGGTGTGCGTCCCTTCGGCCTAATATGCTTTCCGAGTATTTTTTAATAACAAAGTATATAATCTGTTTTGAATACAAAAAAAACATTAATGAGGTTTTTATTGTCGCTTTTATCATTTCACAACGATCTTAGCATAGAAAAAAAATAGATTTATAAACAAACACCAAAAATGTGTAAAAATACCTAACCTTTTTAATAAAAACACGCACTAATGAGCGTTCTATATATAGATCCAATTTGTAAAAAAGCGTCTGATAACTGAAAACGCCTGTATGTTCTATAATAGAACTACAAAAGAAAATATACCCGAATTTCCCATTTCCTATATCCGACGAAACTATTCACATTCACATAACGAGCTTATATAAACAAAATAAAGCGTAGCAATGTGAGATATGACACAATACGAAAAGGGTTGAGGCCTATAATAATAATAGATTCCGGCGTAGCGACGCGCTACGGCGTAGCGTCGTAGAATAAACAAGTGCTACGAGAATTTGTAGGCTTAAGTAAAGAGCCTTTGTAGGTGCGCGAAGGTTTATTTAATAAAACTGTATTTCGTTCTGTTCCCTTTGACAATGTAATTTATATGGAAAAAGTGGAATTCTTACATTGTTATAATACTTTGAAGACTTTTTTTGGTACAACGGAGTTCCTTAGAGAATCGAAAGTAAAAAGTAAAGTATCACTTAGCCGTTATGGCTTTCTTAATGTGATATACTTATTTAGAATTTATGAAAGGAAAGATTTCTTCATGTTTTTCCTTACATCAAAATATTAATTTCACGTTTTCGTGTAATTTATGAGTAATATCCATAAATTATTATAAATTATTAAGTTTTAAAAATTGCAAAGTAAGTATATCCTTAAATTATTCGAATATTAAAACTCGTGTGGTATGAATATTCTGGGAAAACATAACTCTATAGTTGATAATAACATTCGTTAAATAGTAATATTTTTAGGTTAACAACTAGATATGTCACTTAAATTATTTAAAGCATCATTTAATATAAATTCTCTCATTAATATCTGTGTAATATCATAATCTGCATAAATATCATATTTCTCTCTCCATAAAACATACCTAAAAATAAAGCAAGATTTATATAAAACGTAAAAATATATAATCGAAAATCTCTATGTATGATTGATCATATCTTATTTCTGCATCAAAAATAAACTACTTTGAAAGCTTTTTTATTTCAGTAACTATACTTACTGAAATCTCATAATAAACATTTTTACTTATTATACAGACTGCATTATCACATTATCTTAAATAAAGATATTTTATTATAAAAGAAAAGCAATGATTATGAGAAATGATCGTACTTCATCAAGTTTATACAACAGGTAGACGATTAAGCATGAATGAAATGATCAAGTTATAAAAGATATTTACATCACAAAAGCCAACTGAAAAGAACAATACAGAGCAAATGAATCAAAACGAAGGGAACCGAATAATCGTCTTCGACTCGAACGCGACGAAAGACAATTTTCAGTCACGTTATCTACCTGAAATTGGCACTGAAAACGTTGCACTCACCGTGTTTGCAACGGTTTCATTATACACTCAGATCCTTGTTCCACACAAAGTTTAATTAGAGACACAGTCTATGCCCGTGTAATGACGTACGGTGCCGTCAAAACGGAGTTTTCATCAAATTTTCATTAATACCCGGTGAAAACACGCCTGTATCGTATCGGCGGGAGACCGGCTCACAGACCACACGTCCGCACTCCGCGAGCTCGCGGACAAAACTAGGAGCTCAAGCCGAGTGTTCCAAGCCCGAATCGAGCCGGAGGGAGACAGAGTCATTTGCGGGAAAGAGATGTGGAAGCATGCAGAGGTGCGCAGGAAAGAATTAGATGTTTATTTGGGCTACTGGTAATGGGATAACAGAAGCTCGTGCGTGCTTTTCTAGTTTCAAGTGTGAAGTCTCTTTGGTTACCTTACCTGCGATACACCAAACCTGTTATCTCGTTCCGTTTAATACTACGCTCAAAAAATAAACGTTAAAATGAATTTATTTTACATTCAATAAAATATGCAAGCTCCACTAAAAATGTTCAGTTATAAATCTAAATTTGGTGTGATACTGTAATAAAATTTGTGAGCTAAAAATGTGGGAATTTTTTATATGATCAAAAATGTATATTGTTTAAAAAAGCGAATGTAAAATTTTTAAATTGTAATCAACAAATTTGGACGCTGTAGAATATAAATTCGATGTTCATTGCTAATTATAAAACTTAATAGCAAAGCCGTAGATGATTTAAATACAGTTGCGATTCAATTTATTCGTACAAAAAGGTGCCAATGTAACCGAATTTAATAAAGCCCTGAACTAAGTCAACAAATTCAATAAAAGAAAATCGATTTTAGTACAAAAGGTGTCTGTAGCGCTCCAAGGTACAAAATTTGAAGTATTTTGATTCAGCTTTGATATTGTATTATACATTATTCACATATAACTGTATGGTAGGTGAATATTTATAATCTAATTTAGAGTTTTAGTAACTGAACTCGTTTAACACCCCGGCTTCGCGTAAGTGCAATGCTAGTACATTTTTTTCAATATTGGAAGTTACTATACATATTATATAAACCGTTTTCTTCAATCATTATATCAATATTATATTACATAAAATCATATATTATAAAAAAATCAATGTAAATGTAAATAACCGATTTAGTGACAGAAAAGCCTGAAAATACTGACAAAAACCGTTGAAGGCTTTTTTTTTTGTGAGGGGCAAAACATCAAATGACTTCTCCCGCCCAGGGCCGGGCGGGAGGGAGTGTCAGACTCTTACTGACTAAAAACCCCCCTGTTCCTTCTCCTGCTCTCGACCGAGGTCGCGGTGCCTCATTGTGCTTACCCCGCAACCCCGGCTGAACATCAGCCCTATAGGGCGCCGTCTGTGGTGGTCTATTGGCTCATTGAGGCGCGCGTGGAACGCTACGCGCCATACGCTCAGGAAACCGTTGAAGGCTAAGCTTCCGCTAGCGTGATTCAACGTCCGACACGGCGCTTTAAGGATTAAATAGGTAATTATAAAATTATAAAATGATGTTTTTTTTCTTAGGTGATTGTATAAATAATAACTTACCACATACAGCAATTTGGCGTAAATTTCAAAAGGCCGGGCAACGCTTATCTTCTCTGGTGTAGCGGGTGTGAAAAGGCGACGCTAACTTCTTACCAGCGGTGATCATTTGCCGATTATTTTTTTTGTTTTACGTGATAGGATGGTAAACGAGCAACCACATTACCTGATTGTAATAAGTAATCGGCGCCGCCCATTGACATTCAAAAGACTAGACGAGTTACAAGTTTTTTGCTGGTCTTTTGGGGATAAGGGTTTCGGAGATATAGAAATTACGGGCAGGTTTGGGCTGCCGGTAAACTTACTCACACGATGAGACACAACGTTAGGGTTGTTTAACACCAGTTTTCTGTGAGGCCCGTGCATCAATCCGGTCGAGCCGACCTATTCGTGCCGAAGCTTGGCTCTCCCCTTTTTTATTCACATCAAATACTAAAAAAACACGTAGGAAGAGCAAGAGTGACAAATTGTAGATATTTTACTTTGCCATCACTAGACGACTTTAACTTTCAACACCACGTACTTAACTAATACCCACCCACAAGATCCTAAAAATAGCTTTACTACCCATCTTTATCCAAAAGTAAAAATAAATTTATACATTAATAGAACTCTGAAACTCTCTCTTTACCACTTTGTTGAGTGACTGGTATTAAATGTCTTCACTCAACAATAGATTCTTATTTGTTTTAATAATTTTTTTCAAGTTAGTTGTTTAAGTTGACGTAAAAATAAGAATTAAAATATGTAGTAATTTTTTTGTTATTTATCACATTATTTTAAACATTTTAAGACAATTATAATCAAAGACTAAGACAATTTTAATTCAAAACGGTCAACGATAATTACAGTCAAGGCCTAGTACATTTCGAGCGAGCTCTCAGTCCTAAAATTATGAAAAATATATTTTATATAAGTATTATTTTCCTGATCAAGAGCAAAAAAAAACCTTTATTTTTTATTATATAACTGGCCGAATAGTGTTCTCCGATCGGATAAAGTATATAATAATAATATGATGGACACATAACACGTCACTCTATAGAAAGTAAGTATTAATTTATTTGTCATCAATTATACCTAACTATTGTCCCTTAAAACATATAAAAAAATACATGTACTTCCTTTTTAAAAAAAAACTTTCCTGTGTCGTTCGTGGGTGCGGTTACGAACATACAATTTAGTCCACATATAGACCCGAAACAACAATTTGTGGATCACACTAAGAATTGTTCCGTGCGGGAATCGAACCCGCGACACGTTGCACGGCAGCCAGTTGCCCAGCCACCGCACCAACCGAGTCTTGTACATTAACAACACGAAACTAATTCCATTTATTATTTAAAATTAATACAGAAGTAAAAATAGCTGTGTCTTAAATTCGAACTGTTTTATTACTGTTTGAACTTGTTAGACACCTGTCATAAACACTTTAATAGTTAAAAAAAATGTTAATTGAATTTAACAGTTTTTCGTCCTTTTGTAAAAAATGTGAATTTATTTATTAATTTTTCATAAGTATTATAAGAAATTTTTTTTTTTGAAGCTACTATTATTTTGATCGACCAAATAGACCGGCTAAGTTGATATGAAACAGTTGCATTGCGTTTTGCCCTTTTTGTCAGGTTATCGGAGTTTCTACTCCGCGACCCAATCCCTAAATGCCCAAACACCCAATCCTCAAATCTCTAACCATTCTAAAACGCGTACTACGGACTTGCAACTTCTTTTAAGTTGTGGATGTCCAGTTGCAATGCCGGTTGCCACCATCAATCCATATACATATATTAAGTGTTACTTTGCCACCGTCGCGAATAAAAAAGTAACAAATAAAATTATCTAACAATTGACCTTTTCTCCTCTAATTCAATAATAAATTCTGACAAATAAACAAACAAAACTATTCAGAAATTCCAATCCCAAAGTTCTGATTGTAAATTAGGTTTTTTTATTTATTTAGTTATCAGTTTGAACTCAATAAACTGTGAATGATTTACATTAATTGTCTAGTTTTTAGAATTCGAATTCAAAATAATTTTGTTATTGACATTGCGAACGTGAGTCATTGTTTGGCAAATAGTCGCCTTGAATAATAATATAATGTCATCATTTTATTACTTGGCTTGTTTACGTAAATTTGTCATCAATGTTTATATGTGTTGGAATAAAATTGAAGTTGTATAAATATTGAAGAAAGTCATGTCCGTCAAGAAGGTCCGTATTGAAATTACCAGTATAAGTTTATAATATGCTTTTGTTTTATAAAAACCATCGATCTTTCTCTTGAATTTTCTTCTGTATTGCTGTATCGTGAGTGCATACAAGTCCAGCATAATATACTTCACTGTAATAATCTCCGAAAGAGTAATAATGTTTCATATGACATGACATACCTAACAAAGGAAGTCTTTTATGACCTTGTTTTCATTCTTTCGGACTCATTAAGTGTAGGAGAGCCAAGCTTCGGCACGAATAGGTCGGCTCGACCGGAGTGACCTCACAAAATACCGGCGTGAAACAACCACAGCGTTGTGTTTCGCCGTGTGAGATTCCCGGAGGCCCAATCCCACCCCTTCCCCTATCCCTTCCCAATCCTTATATCCGCAACCTTATCCCCAGAAGGCCGGCAATGCACTCGTAACTCGTTTAGTGTTGCATGGACACCCGTCCACAGGCGGCGCCGATTCCTTACCATCAGGTAATCCATCTGCTCGTTTGCCGGCTTATACCATAAAAAAGCAATGGCTAACTAACAAAACGTACAGAAGAAAAAACTATATTAAATACTCCCGTCTTCTTTGATTGCCTCACTTAATTTAGGAAAGAAGATTAATTAATGAGAGAATATAAGTAGATCTTTTGAGATACGAACGTCGTCAATTTCGACATTTTTCCTTATCTAAAACTATAGTAGCTTCTATTGTTTTCGTCTTCTTTGTGTTAGAGCAATTAATTTTCTTTTTTTAACATTGGATGAGTAGATAGAATTAATTCAAATTGTGCTCTGTTTGTTTTAAAGATTTTATAGCGATCAAGTAACTTGTGATGTAACTACAGGAAACTTGGTATACTAAATTTTAGGGTACCCAGAGCTGCCTTTTTTTTGTCAGTGGAAAATAATCAAATGGCTTCTCCCGCCCAGGATCGGGCAGGAGGGAGTATCAGACTTATACTGACTAAAAACCCCCCGTTCCTTCTCCTACTCTGGTTCGAGGCCGAGGTGACTCATTGCGCTTAACCCGCAGCCCCGGCTGAATATTAGCCCTATAGGGCAACCAGAGCTGCCTAACTATTCTAATGGGTTCATAATTATGAGTCAACTACTAAAATACCTAACTATTAATAACTCCTAAAAGCCATTAATTTGTTCTTCATTTATTTTTACAGATACAAAAGTTATTCCATAACATCAACGTAATAATTTCATCCTTATGCTTGTCACCAGCATTGGATAACATTTACTAAATAATAATTTTTCGCTGTTATACGCTGATTTCTCTACAACCCAAACGGCGCTACTACATCGGTCTACCAGCCAATGGTAGACAAGGCCATTTGGCATTGAGTTCGCCTTATATACCATCTTCTTTTTATAGTTCGTGTACTCTAAAAGCGAAATCAATAAGGAAACAAAA